CTTTAGCATTAAAGCCCCCTCCAAATTTACCTCTCACTTGGTTTTAAAGGCTCCTATACTTCACTTAACATCTCCCAAAATCTCTCTCTCTCCCTGCATTCCTCTCTTCCCCGGTGCAACACGCTTATTAGACCCACCCCTTTTCCCCATCCCAAACCTTTTCTTTAAATCCACATAATTCTTTTAAATTTACCATTCATATTCTTTTTCTCCTTTCCCTAAAGATATTTAAACATTACTTTCTACCCCTTCTTTGCTCTAACCTCTCAGAACCCAGATTTAAACCCCTTTATTTCCCCCCCCTGAAACCTCCTACCCCTTTTAGCTTTGTTTCGCTTAGGGCCAGGGAAACCAATTCTTTTCATTCATAACATCACAATCATCTGTTTTTTTGTCATCCCACTAATCCCGCACATTTAAGCAACCCGTTTTATAAAGTTTTTTTCTTCTCTTTTTTTGTATTGTATCAGGGAAAGGGTTACTACCCATTGCTCCGGCATTTTTGTCGCCTCATACGACACCATGGCTTACGGAGGAAAGTTCTTTTTCCCCTTCCCCCTGGCAAAAGAAGAAATAAAAAAGAACAAGAGCTATATTATATTTCGGCCCAAAGGCAGAACTTCATCTGGGTTAAAAAGAACGTTCATCTTGCCATAAGGACAAGTGAAAATTTGTGTATGCAATAATTTCGCAAAATCATTTTGAACCCAAAGAAAAAAAATTATTTGATTGTTTTGTTTTTTACTAAATTTTTCGAAAGATTTTAAAAAATTTTTTAGTTGGGGTTTCCAAAAAAAATTGTTCTTTTATAAAAGGTTAGGTAAGTTTTCTAAGATTCTTTTGGTTCAAAATTAAAAAAAAATTACATTAACATTAATGAAAAAATATATCTTTAAACGTATAAGAAAAAATTTCAGAAAGGACTTAATTTTAAATGAGTTCTTGCTAATTGACCAGTTTTACATATTCGGCACGACATATATATATATATATATATATATATATATATATATACAATATATATATATTAATAATATATATATATACACACACATATATATATATTTATATATATATATATATATACATATATATATATATATATATATATATATATATATACCACACATATATATATATATATATATATATATATATGAAGGGGGTAGGGGAGTTTCGGTGGGGAGAAATAAATGAGATTAAATTTTGAGTATCTGAGAGAGTTAGAGCTAAGGAAGGGGTAGCAATAATGTTGAAGGATCAGTTATGGAAGGAGAAAAGAGAATATGAATGTATAAATTCAAGGATTATGTGGATTAAAGTAAAGGTTAGATGCGAAAAGTGGGTCATAATAAGCGTGTATGCACCTGGAGAAGAGAGGAATGTAGAGGAGAGAGAGAGATTTCGGGAGATGTTAAGTGAATGTATAGGAACCTTTGAACCAAGCGAGAGAGTAATTGTGGTAGGGGACCTGAATGCTTAAGTAGGAGAAACTTTTAGAGAGGTTGTGGTAGGTAAGTTTGGGGTGCCAGGTGTAAATGATAATGGGAGCCCTTTGATTGAACTTTGTATAGAAACGGGTTTAGTTATAGGTAATACATATTTTAAGAAAAAGAGGATAAATAAGTATACAAGATATGATGTAGGGCGAAATGACAGTATTGGCAGATAAAACACTGTTGAGTAGACTTCAGGATGTACATGTTTATAGAGGGGCCACAGATATATCAGATCACTTTTTAGCTGTAGCTACACTGAGAGTAAAAGGTAGATGGGATACAAGGAGAATAGAAGCATCAGGGAAGAGAGAGGTGAAGGTTTATAAACTAAAAGAGGAGGCAGTTAGGGTAAGATATAAACAGCTATTGGAGGATAGATGGGCTAATAAGAGCATAAGAAATGGGGCCGAAGAGGTATGGGGTAGGTTTAAAAATATAGTGTTAGAGTGTTCAGCAGAAGTTTGTGGTTACAGGAAAGTGGGTGCGGGAGGGAAGAGGAATGACTGGTGGAATGATGATGTAAAGAGAGTTGTAAGGGAGAAAAAGTTAGCATATGAGAAGTTTTTACAAAGTAGAACTGATGCAAGGAGGGAAGAGTATATGGAAAAAGAGAGAGAGGTTAAGAGAGTAGTGAAGCAATGTAAAAAGAGAGCAAATGAGAGAGTGGGTGAGATGTTATCAACAAATTTTGTTGAAAATAAGAAAAAGTTTTGGAGTGAGATTAACAAGTTAAGGAAGCCTAGAGAACAAATGGATATGTCAGTAAAAATAGGAGACGAGAGTTATTAAATGGAGAGTTAGAGGTATTGGGAAGATGGAGGGAATATTTTGAGGAATTGTTAAATGTTGATGAAGGTAGGGAAGCTGTGATTTCGTGTATAGGGCAAGGAGGAATAACATCTTGTAGGAGTGAGGAAGAGCCAGTTATGAGTGTGGGGGAAGTTTTGAGGCAGTAGGTAAAATGAAAGGGGGTAAGGCAGCTGGGATTGATGGGATAAAGATAGAAATGTTAAAAGCAGGTGGGATATAGTTTTGGAGTGGTTGGTGCTATTGTTTAATAAATGTATGGAAGAGGGTAAGGTACCTAGGGATTGGCAGAGATTGTGCATAGTTCCACTGTATAAAGACAAAGGGGACAAAAGAGAGTGTTAAAATTATAGGGGAATAAGTATGTTGAGTATACCTGGTAAAGTGTATGGTAGAGTTATTATTGAAAGAATTAAGAGTAAGACGGAGAGCAGGATAGCAGATGAACAAGGAGGCTTTAGGAAGAGTAGAGGGTGCGCAGACCAAGTGTTTACAGTGAAACATAGGTGAACAGTTTTTAGATAAGGGTAAAGAGGTTTTTGTGCATTTATGGATTTGGAAAAGGTGTGTGACAGGGTGGATAGGGGGGCGATGTGGCAGATGTTGCAAATGTATGGAATAGGAGATAGGTTATTGAAAGGAGTGAAAAGTTTTTACGAGGATTAGTGAGGCTCAGGTGAGAGTATGTAGGATAGAGGGAGATTATTTCCCAGTAAAAGTAGGCCTTAGACAAGGATGTGTGATGTCACCGTGGTTGTTCAATATATTTATAGATGGGTTGTGCTGGCAAGAGGTGTGGGGTTAAAAGATAAAGAATCTAACACAAAGTGGGAGTTGTCACAGTTACTCTTTGCTGATGACACTGTACTTTTGGGAGATTCTAAAGAGAAGTTGCAGAGGTTGGTGTATGAGTTAGGTAGGTTATGTAAAGAAGAAAATTGAGAGTGAATATAGGAAAGAGTAAGGTGATGAGGACAAAAAAATAGGTAACGATATATTGGATTGATATCCAATCTTTCGTTACCTATTTTGGAGGGAAAAAGTATGGAGGAGGTGAATGTATTCAGATATATGGGAGTGGACGTGTCAGCAGATGGGTCTATGAAAGATGAGGTGAATCATAGAATTGACGAGAGGAAAAAGTTAAGGAGTGTGTGGAGACAGAACTTTATCCATGAAAGCAAAGAGGGGAATGTATGAGAGTATAGTTATACCAACGCTCTTGTATGGGTGTGAGGCATGGGCGGTGAATGTTGAGGCAGTGGAGATGTCATGTCTGAGGGCAATGTGTGGTGTGAATATAATGCAGAGAACCCGTAATTTGGAAAGTAGGAGGAGGTCTACCTGGAGTCTACCTAGAGGGCATTCTGGGGATCAACTCCCCCGCGGCCCGGTCCATGACCAGGCCCCCTGATGGATCAGGGTCTGTTACTGCTGGCCGCACGTAGTCTAATGTACGAACCACAGCCCGGCTGATCTGGCACTGACTTTAGGTATCTGTTCTGCTCCCTCTTGAAGACAACCAGGGGTCTATTGGTAATTTCCCTGATGGGTGGAGGAGGCTGGTGAACAGTCTTGGGCTCCGGACACATATTGCATACCAGTGGCACCCCTACTTTTCACTGGGGGCACGTTACATCGCCTGCCCAGTCTTTTCCTTTCGTAGGGACTGAGTTTTGTGTGCAGATTAGGGACCAGTCTCTCCAGACTTCCAGGTGTAGATTATGATATATCTCTTTCGCCTGCGCTCCAGTAAGTACAGGTCAAGTGCTTCCAGGCGTTACCAGTAGTTGAGGTGTTTGACGGAACTTGTATGTACCGTAAAGGTTCTCTGAAAATTCTCTAGATCTGCAATTTCACCTGCCTTGAATGGAAATTTTAATGTACAGCAGTATTCCAGCATTTTGAAGGAGGGGTGTTAATGTTGCAGTTTTATAACTGTAGTGTGAGCATGCCTCTTGCAAGACAGTGATGGAGTGAATGATGGTGAAAGTTTTTCTTTTTAGGGGCAACCTGCCTTGATAGGAATCGGCCGATGTGCTAGCAAAAAAGAAGAAAAAATATAGAACAGAAGAGATGGATTAGGGCGGTATAACCAACATGGGAATGAATTCAACCCTGTGTGGAGGTTGTGCTATGATATATGCGAACGGAACATCAAGAAGTCTGAACCAGTAGCTGAGGGAACACAAATACGCACACAGCGAAGACAACCTGGCTAATGCTTGTATAATTCAGCACAACTTAAATGAACACTTAAGAGAGTGCAATTACAACAAATTATTTCTGAAACAGTTACTTGCTGAAATGTGGCATTCTCGAGGCATCCTTGACCTCTGTGTCCCACACAATGGCCCAGAACTCAGAAAAGTTAAAAAAATCGATACTTACATTTATTGTTTGATTTAATTCTTGTATGAATAAGAAAATATTAAAATAAAAGTAGAACTTCGTAATGCTGGAAATGCCAGAAAAAATGAATAAGAAGAAATTAAAATAAGCACATAACATGAAAAACCTTTCCAAGATAATTTCTGTTATAAAGCGATAACGGGAAGAGCTGAAGACAACACATTATCACCGGGAATACTGGCAGAGTGTTGTCACCATCCTAACAAACGGAAGTGGCAAAACTGATAACAAAATATGAAAAGCTTGATACTAAATGTAATAATGCTGTTATTTATATCATACCTTCGGTTGAATTGACGAGATGTGCCTTTCTTTGATCAGCTTCCTTCCAGCAGTTTTCTGCCACCCTGTGACAGGCGTTCACCGCTCCTGAGCAAGACTTGAAGTTTAGAGGGCACACAGAGACGCCGCCAGTGCATGAGTTCACTTCCTCAAGACATGAACGAAGATTGTTATCATATTCATCGCAGAACCTGAGGTCGTCCCCGCACGTCTCTTGTACGCTCATGAGGCCGCCCGAGATGTTGATGGCAGCATTCTGAAGCGACTCAGCGCCCTCACTGCTAAGTAATGTGCAGCAGAGTGAGCTTTTGTAGACGCAACATTCATCACACACTTCAACAGACACCCATCAAAACACACTCCAGGAGACGCACCCATCACCACACGCTCCAGCAGACACAACCATCACCATACACTGCAGCAACCATCACCACACACTCTGCACAAGATATTAATTTACCACGAGCATGATATTCTCTTACCTTGAACATGGTATTTCCTTGCTGTGAGCATGGTATTCCTTACCACGAAAATGATATACACTGACCATAAGAATAATATTCCATGAGTATGATATTCCAATTAAGCGAGGATTGATACTACCTAGCCATGGGCATATTTCCTAGCGACGAGCATGATATTAGCCATCCTATGAGTAAGATGCCTAGTGACTAAAGCTCACATTATGGCCTCACCTCATATGCTGCCATTGTCCATCTGACGAACAGGTCCAATTCGTGATGAGACCGGAGGTTGGGCAGATGGGTTGGATTGTGGTGCCAGCCTTGGCTAGGGGTAGAGTAAGGCTGCATGTCTGCCCGTTCTGGAATACAAGTTCTTCATTCTTGGTCTGGCACCATGTACAATTAGCCGACTGATCTGGAAACATTCAATGATACTAGAATGATACAAGGTGAGAGTATTAATACTGCTGATATTATCGTCTTAAATCTTGCTCCAGTGTTATTTTGAAAGAGCCATTCCAGGCTTGATGCGACGATCCTATAAGCTATATAGCAAATGTATGGTGTTACCTAGGCTGTTTGTTCCAGTTATAATAATACCTAGGTTTAATGTGATAATTCTTAGGCTGGATGTAAATTTTGTTTCATAAAATTCTTTACAACTTGGTTAAAACAATAGAACGCAGCTCGATTGGCAGCGGACTCAGCTCACACACTTAGGTCCGGAGGTTGATTCCCGGGACGATTGGAAAGCATTAGGACGTGTTTCCACAAGACACCTTCTGTCCCTGTTCACCCATCAGTAAAATGGGACATGGACATGAATTACCAGAGCTTTGGAAGAAGGATGGGTAAGATGGAAATATAGGAAAAGGGAGGGTGGGGGAAGGGGAGGTGGGATAATAAAGAACATAAGAATGAAAGAACACTGCAGCAGGCCTACTGGCTCATGCGAGGCAGGTCCAAGTCTCCAACCGGCCAATGCACCCAACCTAGTCATGTCAGGTCACATTCACTTAAGGAAGGAGCACGGCAACTGACCCAGTAGCACAAGCTAGTCAGGTCCAACTCACACCCACCCACACCTTCTCATGTATTTAACTAATCTATTTTTAAAACTACACAACGTTTTAGCCTCTATAACTGTACTCGGGAGTTTGTTCCATTCATCCACAACTCTATTACCAAACCAGTGCTTTCCTATATCATTCCTGAATCTGAATTTTTCCAACTTAAAATCATTGCTGTGGGTTCTGTCTAGGTTAGATATTTTCAGTATACTATTTACATCCCCTTTATTCCTGTCTTCCATTTATTTAAAGGTAAATGGCCTAATCACTTTGGTGCATTTTAATACAGATGTGTGTGTAGTGTTCCTCATGAATATATAAAATTCTTAGGATGGGGTATACCTCACTTCCCAGCAGCTGCACACATTTATACCTGCTGTATACTTGCATGTTGCTGAGTTGGTAGGATTTATACTACTTGCAATTGCTAGTTTTTTTGTACAAGAGGTAGGTTCTAAGGCACTTGCTGAAGGTGGTAGTTGCAAGGCTCTTGATGGAATTTGGCTGCTTTCCTGGAGTTATTGGTGGACTTAGCTGTTTCTGAGGTGGTGTCCTCTATAGGATGTTTGCGAATGATACAGGTTAGTTGTAAGCCGTACATTGTTTCAAGTAGTTTCCATAAATTGGGTTATTATTGTCCTTGGAGGACGTAGAATGGTTCAGGTGTTACGCAATCTTCTATCTCTTCGGGGAGATCACTCAGCATCATTAGTCATGGGAAGTTCTTGTGGATGAAGCCCTCGACTCTTTACTGACGGTCATCCTTTGTATTCTGTGGGGAGGTGCATTGATAATGTAGTCGGTTACCTGGATACCTGGAGGTTATTCCGGGGATCAACGCCCCCGCGGCCCGGTCCATGACCAGGCCTCCCGATGGATCAGGGCCTGATCAACTAGGCTGTTACTGCTGGCCGCACGCAGTCCGACGTACGAGCCACAGCCCGGCTGATCCGGCACTGACTTTAGGTATCTGTCCAGCTCTCTCTTGAAGGCAGCCAGGGGTTTATTGGCAATTCCCCTAATGCTTGATGGGAGGCTGTTGAACAGTTTTGGGCCCCGGACACTTATGGTGTTTTCTCTTAGTGTACCAATGGCGCCCCTACTTTTTATTGGCGGCATTTTGCATCGCCTGCCCAGTCTTTTACTTTCGTAGGGAGTGATTTCTGTGTGCAGATTTGGGACCATTCCTTCCAAGATTTTCCAAGTGTAGATTATGATATATCTCTCCCAATTTGGTTGTGTAGGATTATACAGTTGCCTCATTTTCAGCTCGTCTAGTGCTCTGTTCTGGACTCTTCGTAGCCTTAGCATAAGAAAAACCATACCACGGGCGGGATTTGAACCCGCGGTCAGAGAGTCTCAAAACTCCAGACCGTCGCGTTAGCCACTGGACATGGACATGCAAGAATATTCAAGTAAAGGTTTTTATCATCATCATCTTATAGAGGTGCTTCTTAACGTGTGAGGGGCATCGTTAAACCTGTATAGATGCTTTTTTAATTTGCATTGTTTTGTAACACTAAAATTAACACAGCAGTGTGAGTGGACTTCCTAAAAATTGAAAACTCAAGCTGATCGTTATATCTGGTGAATGGTATATCTAGGAATAGTACTGACTCATTCCCATTCAACTTTGAACTCTACTGACGTAACAAGATGGTTTTTAATCTTTAAGCAAATTTCAAATGTTAATGAACTTGTAACGTTCCTTAACTTAAAGCATATTAACATTAAATTTACTTATGAATTTGAAGAAAATACTAAACTAGTGCCTTAAACTGGAACTTTACAACTGTCTTAGTTTTATCTTAGTTTTTGTCCAAAGTTTTTTTTTTTAATCAAGCGTTAGAACACTATTAGCAGGACTTATGATACATATTGAAGCTATAATTGATTTAATACCGAACTTAAATTCTTGATGGATAACTTTTTAGAAAATGCATTACATTACAGTTCTTAATGATATACAATGATATATAATGCATTAATCCTGTGACCTGAGATCCGATATCATCTATCTGTTACAATGACCGACAGTGATTCTCGAAATTTTAAACACCGTATTCCGAGCACATGGGTATATTTTTAAACACTGATCTTCCTTTGTCTTGACCTTCTTACTCTACAACCTAGAACACTTATATTATTATTAGCATGGGGAAGCGCTAAACCCGTATCATTATACAGCGCATGTAGGGGGGGAATAGAAGGTATTCAGATTCAATTCAGGGAACTGGAGCAAAGATCCAATTCCCTAGATCAAGAGCCCCCTCACCAGCAACAAGGAACCTCCTTTGAGGAGAACCTGGAACACTGTGACTTAACCAACCACCATCACATCTCTTAGAAATTCACAGTTTTGACTTCAACACCACAAAGACTCAACCTTGTTATCTGGGAGTCACTGTATATAGTAATTAGAATGAAGCCTCAACAATTATACTACGATTATACATTAAGATAGGTCAGCTGTATAATTAGTATTCTTCAGTTTGTCATGACAGTTATAATTCAGGTTAATGTAAATATATTTTAGTTGTGATATAACCAGGTATTTAGCCTAGTAAAATTTTCTTTTATGCTTCGACACTGATGACCGGGTTTGATACTACTAACTGTCTTTAATTGAAAATGAATTAATATGATTTTAACGGTAACTCACTCATATTTCAGTACATTATGTATACCTATTTTTTGTATTATATCTTTATATTTGTTTACCAATTGAAATTTCAGTGAGTGTTAACTTACTAATCTGTATTAAAAACATTAATATTATTTAGATATCCTTTCTGTAATTCATTACAATAAAATTCCTACTCTGTATCAACATTCTGGGCAGAGAAGCTCGAGGAAAGTGACTCATCTAAGGACATGTATGTGAGTGGTCCAGCCTAAGTGAATGTGACCTGACCTGACTAGGTTGGGTACATTGGCTTAAGCCGGTAGGACACTTGGACCTGCCTCGCATGGGCCAGTAGGCTTGCTGCAGTGTTCCTTGTTTCTTATGTTACTCTTAGTGCTATCAATATAAACTATTCTCTTCAGATTATAATATTAATGCAACACAAATACTTACAAGAAGACAAAGCTCTTTTTATAAAAAAAATAATAAATATCTTCAATATACCACACAGTTCAGGTCACCGACGTAAATAAAAATTCCTAGAACGGTTGTAGTAATTTTACATACAGACACAACTAGGTATTATTTACATATTTACGATAAATTACGCAAATACAAAAACACTCGTAATCAGCTTAGTGTAACACTGAAAAATATTTGTAGTTTTATCCATAATTTTATGTGAAGAATAATTATTGCATAAATTAATGTATATATTTAAGCTTCTAATTGCATCCTTTACAAACTGCAAAAATTAGTCTTTTTATTAAGGAATTTGCGAAGAAAGAAAGAAGAGCATCAGGCAGCCTCCATTATAAAATTTGATACACAATTTACAGTAGTTACAGATACTCAAAAAAACCATACCCCCGGCCGGAATTGAACCCGCGGTCATAGAGTCTCAAAACTCCAGCCCGTCGCGTTAGTCACTAGTCATGTTGACAGATACTCAAAGTTTACAAGGAAAACTAAACAGTGTTAGATCTAATGCGATATTCAATAATTTTAAGGTAAAATAATTTGTCAACAAAAGTCATTAACACTCAACACTATAAAAGTCAAAATAGGAGTTTCTAAGAGTGGTAGAAGTATAGGAATCACCATACTTGAGGTGAAAGTCAATATTTCACTGTTATATGTGACTTTAACACGAAATTTACAGAGTATTTATTTGACTATACAGTGCACTAGTTTTCTGTTACTATTTCAAAGTCTCTCATTCAACCATTTGCCTAAATGACACCGGATAATTATAAAATGTTAGAAGCATTCCGTTTCCAGTGTTCTCGAGATATTAAAAGTATCTCCAGCACATTTATTAGAGGTTAACGAAAGTATGTGTAGGCCTAACAAGAAATGAAAAATGTTGTCATCTCTGATCATGCATGGGAAGTTACGCATCCAGAACATGGAGGGAATTTTTCGACCCTGAGCGGGAAATCGTAATTTCATAAATCATGTGCATGAAAGGTAGTAAGCCACATATGTTCTAATATGACAGTCACATAATGCAACATTAATGCAAGACAGGGTGTGACATGAAGGCTCTATATTGTGATATGAAAGCTACACAGTGTAGCACAATAGCCACACATTGTGTTATGTGTAGGAGGCGCAGTCTGACACGATGGCCACATATAGTTAACTGATGGTGAAGGCGTGACATGACAGCCACACATGAAACATGAATGCCACACTTGGTGTGACTTCTCTTACCACGCACAGCTATGGTCCAGCTGGACAAAAGATAACAGAGTGAAACATAAATACGAACCTTCAATAAGGGTTATGAGATCTGTATACCCAAGCTGAGCGGCTCTCGCAGAGGCGTTCAATCCTGTAAGAAAGAGATCACTTTATTTTTATTTTGTTAGCAGACGAGATTCTACTGAGGATGGGCAAAATATTGGTACCAGAATCGTCAGTGGAGAAAAAATTCCCGGTACCAGGAGACTCTTTTAAAAATATTATAATAAATAATCTGTCTCACGATTGTGAGGAATCACATACACACAAAAACATACACACACACACACACACACACACACACACACACACACACACACACACACACACACACACACACACCTCTGCGATAGCACATCCTGACAGGATAAAACAAAAAAAGGGATCTCAGAAGGTAGGACGTCGAGGCAAGGGAACCCAGTACTGCTGGTCTGAGACAGAAGCATGGGCAGACTCAAAAGCACAGTGAAACAAGAGAGGGGTAAAAAGGCTAAATGAGGTTGTCAATACAATGATAGACAAGATATATATAAGAAGTGGGCGTTACTAGCTGTAGCTGCCGAGGAAAAGATATAAAGCCTGGTGGATGCACTGAAAATCCTGAAGGATATAAAAAAAAGGACCAAAAGGAGCAAGGTAGCTTCACTGATGGGAAATCCTGTATCACAAACCTACTTGAGTTCTATGACAAGGTAACAGATGTAAAACAGGAGAGAGAGGGAGGTGTCGATGGCATTTTCTTGGACATTAAGAAGGTTTTCGGCACGGTACCACACAGGAGACTGCTATGGATCACAGTATATCTGACAGGAAGGAAACAATGAATGTTGGTAAATAATGAGGTCTAAGAGCGGGCGCATGTGACAGGTGGGGTTCCACAAGGGTCAGTCCGGTGCTGTTTCTTGTATATGTGAATGTTATGATGGAAAGAATAGATTCAGAGGTGTCGCTGTTTCCTGATGATGTGAAAGTATTAACGAGAATACAAGCAGACGAAAATCAGGTAAAATTACAAGGAAATCTGGACAGGCTGCAAGCCTGGTCCAACAAATGGCTCTTGGAGTTAAAGCCTACTAAGTGCAATGTCATAAAGCTTGGGGAAGGACAAAATGATCGCAAATGGATTACAGGGTAGGGGATGAAAAACTGTAAACCTCACATAAGGAAAAGGATCTTGGGGTGAGCATTATACCGAGCATATTCCCTGAGGCACCCAACAATCAAATAGCTGCAGCATATGGGCGCCTGGCAAACCTGAGAACATCGTTTCGATATCGAAGTATGGAGTCATTGACGACACTGTGCACCGTGTACGTCAGGCCCATATTTGTGTGCGGAGCACTAGCTTGGAGTCCACACCTGGACAAACACGTCAAGAAACTGGAAAGAGAGCAATAGTTTGCAGCAAGACTAGATCAGGAACTAAGAGGTACGTCTTATTAGGAAAGGTTAAGAGAACTCATCCTGATGACGCTAGAGGATAGGAAGAATAAGGGGGATATGAAAACGACATACAAAATATAGAGTGAAATATACAAGGTTTAGAGATGAGACACGGGACAAAGGGACACAACTGGAAGTTGAAAACTCAGACGAGGCATAGGAATCTTAGGAAGCATTCCTTTAGCCTTGGAATTGTCAGGAAGTGAAACAATTTGGAGAGTGTAGTGGAGGCAGGATCCATACACAGCTTTCGGAAGAGGAATGATCAGGCGGGGAGAGAGTGACATAGTCGCAACTAGCGAAGAGGTGGAGCCAGGAGCTGTGCTCGACCCCTGCAACCATATATAGGTGAGTACACACACACACACACATGCATACACACACACACACACACGAGGCGATGATTGAAGCCGAGGCCTCACGTGCCCACACGTAGCTGCCGTGCTATGCCTCTGGCCATGACGGCGGTGCCCGCAATAGCAGGAGATAGCTTCCTACCTATATCGGGGCCAGGAGCTATGAATCGACCCCTGCAACCACAAATAGGTGAGTGCACACACACAAACACACCATGCAGACACACATGCAGATAAACACACATGCAAACATGCATGCAAACACGCATGCAGGCAAACACACATGCAGACACACACATGCAGACAAACACATGCAAATACACACACATGCAGACACACACACACATGCAGACACATGCAAACACACATGCAAACACACATGCAGACAAACACGCATGCAGACAAACACACATGCAGATACACACACATGCAAACACATGCAAATACACACACATGCAGACACACACACACATGCAGACACACATGCAAACACACATGCAAACACACATGCAGACAAACACGCATGCAGACAAACACACATGCAGATACACACACATGCAGACAAACACATGCAGACAAACACGCATGCAAATACACACACATGCAGACAAACACACATGCAGGCACACACACATGCAGACACATACACATGCAGACACACATGCATCCAGACACACACATGCAAACACACCATGCAGACACACATGCAGATAAACACACCATGCAAACACACATGCAGACAAACACGCATGCAGACAAACACACATGCAGATACACACACATGCAGACAACACTGCGACAAACCGCATGCAAACCACACACATGCAGACAAACACACATGCAGGCACACACACATGCAGACACATACACATGCAGACACATACACATGCAGACACACACACATGCAGACACACATGCAGACAAACACATGCAGACACACACACACACATGCAGACACACACATGCAGACAAACACACATGCAGACACACACACATGCAGACAAACACACATGCAGACAAACACACATGCAGACAAACACACATGCAGACAAACACACATGCAGACACACATGCAGACACATACACATGCAGACACACATGCAGACATACACATGCAGACACACACACATGCAGACAAACACACATGCAGACACACATGCAGACACATACACATGCAGACACACATGCAGACATACACACATGCAGACACACACACATGCAGACACACACACATGCAGACACACACATGCAGACACACACACATGCAGACACACACACATGCAGACACACACACATGCAGACAAACACACATGCAGACACACATGCAGACACATACACATGCAGACACACATGCAGACATACACATGCAGACACACACATGCAGACAAACACACTTGCAGACACACATGCAGACACATACACATGCAGACACACATGCAGACATACACATGCAGACACACACACATGCAGACACACACACATGCAGACACACACACATGCAGACACACACACATGCAGACACACACACATGCAGACACACATGCAGACACACACACATGCAGACACACATGCAGACACACACACACGCAGACACACACACATGCAGACACACACACACATGCAGACACACACACATGCAGACCACACACATGCAGACACACACACATGCAGACACACACACATGCAGACACACACACATGCAGACACACACACATGCAGACACACACACATGCAGACACACACACATGCAGACACACACACATGCAGACACACACATGCAGCACACCACCACGAGCGACTCACACACATGCAGACACACACACATGCAGACACACACACATGCAGACACACACACATGCAGACACACACGCAGACTTGTTCTGTAATGATAAACTTTGATATTCGAGTATCTGGGCATAAATTTTAGTGAAATGACATCTCCACGACCGCGGATTGTACCGCAGCCACGACCGCGGGTTGTACCGCAGCCACGACCGCGGGTTGTACCGCAGCCACGACCGCGGGTTGTACCGCAGCCACGACCGCGGGTTGTACCGCAGCCACGACCGCGGGTTGTACCGCAGCCACGACCGCGGGTTGTACCGCAGCCACGACCGCGGGTTGTACCGCAGCCACGACCGCGGGTTGTACCGCAGCCACGACCGCGGGTTGTACCGCAGCCACGACCGCGGGATGTACCGCAGCCACGACCGCGGGTTGTACCGCAGCCACGACCGCGGGTTGTACCGCAGCCACGACCGCGGGTTGTACCGCAGCCACGACCGCGGGTTGTACCGCAGCCACGACCGCGGGTTGTACCGCAGCCACGACCGCGGGTTGCACGCAGCCGCGACCGCGGGTTGTACCGCAGCCGACCGCGGGTTGTACCGCAGCCACGACCGCGGGTTGCACGCAGTCGCGACCGCGGGTTGTACCGCAGCCGCGACCGCGGGTTGTACCGCAGCCACGACCGCGGGTTGTACCGCAGCCACGACCGCGGGTTGTACCGCAGCCACGACCGCGGGTTGCACGCAGCCGCGACCGCGGGTTGCACGCAGCCGCGACCGTGGGTTGTACCGCAGCTGCGACCGCGGGTTGTACCGCAGCCACGACCGCGGGTTGTACCGCAGCCACGACCGCGGGTTGTACCGCAGCCACGACCGCGGGTTGACGCAGCCGCGACCGCGGGTTGTAACCGCAGCCACGACCGCGGGTTGTACCGCAGCCACGACCGCGGGTTGTACCGCAGCCACGACCGCGGGTTGTACCGCAGCCACGACCGCGGGTTGCACGCAGCCGCGACCGCGGGTTGTACCGCAGCCGCGACCGCGGGTTGTACCGCAGCCACGACCGCGGGTTGCACGCAGCCGCGACCGCGGGTTGCACGCAGCCGCGACCGCGGGTTGCACGCAGCCGCGACCCGCGGGTTGTACCGCAGCCACGACTGCGGGTTGTACCGCAGCCACGACCGCGGGTTGCACGCAGCCGCGACCGCGGGTTGTACCGCAGCCACGACCGCGGGTTGTACCGCAGCCACGACCGCGGGTTGTACCGCAGCCACGACCGCGGGTTGTACCGCAGCCACGACCGCGGGTTGTACCGCAGCCACGACCGCGGGTTGTACCGCAGCCACGACTGCGGGTTGCACGCAGCCGCGACCGCGGGTTGTACCGCAGCCACGACCGCGGGTTGTACCGCAGCCTCGACCGCGGGTTGTACCGCAGCCACGACCGCGGGTTGTACCGCAGCCACGACCGCGGGTTGTACCGCAGCCACGACGCGGGTTGCACGC